TGTTTCTGGTTTTGGATAAGTTTGAATTGCTTCTACCTTATCAGGTAAAGGTTGAGTACCACTGCCACTGACAAGATATCCCAAAAATTTCACTGCACTTTGTCCGAAAACACATTTCGACGTATTAATAACCACTCCGTATTTCCGTAAACGCGTATAAAGAATTTTTAAATGTTCTATATGCTCTTGTTCCGATGATGATGCAATCAAGATGTCATCAATGTAGGCAAAACAAAATTCTAAACCACGAAGCACTTCGTCGATAAAACGCTGAAATGTTTGTGCCGCATTCCGCAAACCGAAAGTCATATAAGGAAACTCAAATAAACCGAACGGAGTTGTAATGGCTGTTTTACAAATGTCCTCCTCGGCAACCGGAATTTGGTGAAACGATTTCATAAGATCTATCACTGAAAATATAGATTTTCCGGCAAGATTATGCGTAAAATCTTGTATATGACGCACAGGGTAACAATCAGGTTCCGTCACCGCGTTAAGACCTCGATAATCGCCACACGGTCTCCACTCTTCATCAGGCTTGGGAACCATGTGTAGTGGTGATGCCCATCGAGCTTTCGATGGTCTTGCAATACCGAGCTTTAAATAATTTTCGAATTCCTTTTTCGCGGCTCTTTGTCGATCCGGGGCTAAACGTCGCGGTTTTTGCACTACCGGAGGTCCATCTCGCGTTTTTATGTAATGAACTGTACCGTGTTTTGCTGTAACCCTTCCGTCAGGTCTTGTAATTTCCGGGAATTTTTCCAAAAGCTCATGGTACACACTACACCCAGAAACACTTTTAACACTAAATATTTTACCATTGACCGCTTTTCCTTCTGCCGTGAGCTTTGTCACTGAATCGATTAATTTTCGATTTTTAACATCTACCAACAACTCGTAGTGTGCCAAAAAATCGACGCCGATAATCGGTTTGGTCACGTCCGCGACAACGAATCTCCACGGATAGTCACGTCTCAGTCCCAAATTTAGATTAATGTTAGTGGTACCGTAAGTTGCGATAGTTGTCCCGTTTGCCGCGGAAAGTTCGTAAGAAGACTTTTCTCGCGACTGACGGAGTAACGCGCGAGGAAACACGCACAAATCCGCACCAGTGTCCACTAAAAATTGCATATTTGTTGCTGAATCACGGATAAAATTACGGCGCGACGTGGTTGGGCCAAGGTCGTCTGTCGCCATTAACGACTGGCCGTTTCGTTTCCCGATTTGTACGAACATGGCGTCGTACATTTTGTTGCTTTATCACCGAAACGGTTGTGATACCAACAAACACCATTTGACTCACTTCTTCCGCGAGATTGTGACCGACCGCGAGAATGAGATCTACCGCGATTACCGGACCGATTATTGTCTCTTTTATTCTGAATTTCCGCGATTTGTGCTTGCATTATGCCCATTTTTTCAGTCATTGTAGTCAGAACTTGGTCGAATTTTTGTAATAATAGGTCGAGAGACGCATTATTTATTGCAGTTTCTGCAACCGAAGGGCGATTTCGCGAACTCACATCGATAATTGAATCGGCTAATTCTGCAAGCTTTTCTAATGAAAGCTCTTGTTGCGCGGCTAAAATTGCTTGCACATTGTGTGGAAGGCGATGGATCCACAATGTTCTGAGCATTGTGTCCGGTACAGTAGCACCAGCGAGTGCTTGCAAATGTCGTAAAAATTGTGTAGGCTTTCTATCGCCTATTTCTTCTGACTCTAGTAATCTACGTTTTTTCTCTTCTTGCGACGCACTTAACCGTTTAATAATTTGTTCCTTTAATTTAGTGTATGGATTTGTCTCAGGAATCGCAACAATCATATCGCGCACTTCCACTGCGACTTTCGGATCTAAGGCGTTCGCGACGCATGTATATTTTTCACTTTCACTTGTCACTTGAGATGCCGTAAAACGCTGTTCCACCATGGAAAACCATAATTCTGGATCAGAATAAATAAAACTCGGGAGCTTCACATTTAAATTTGAACGAAATAATGCACTTTGTAATGCGGCATTGAACGTTTCACTGTTATCACTTCCGTTCGCCATTTTTATTTTTTAGTCAAAAAATCCGAATATTATATTGAAATAAAATGCACTTTTACTCACACCATAAAAAAAATCACGTCGGGGTCACCACTTTGGTGGTTAAAGGTGCAAAAATAAATAAATATCTGAAACTGGATTAAACTAAAAAATCGCTTTTATTTTGAGAATTTGTTTCGAGAATTATGCTTGTGCTCTGGACGGAAGCGCAAAAGGTACTGACTAATCTATGCAATTGAAAAAAGGGACTTGTAGAGGTAAAAATGTGACTCACCCTGTACTACCTACGTACAGAGCCCAAAAGTTTGCAAGTCTCGACGTGCAACGAGTTGAACAACAAGGTAATAAAAAAAGGGTCTCAGGTATTTACCTGAAAGCGAAAAAGTGTACAAAACTGTTAAAAGTAAGAAATTTAGAAAAGTTTAGAATATTCCGTCCAGAATACAAAAATCACAAAAATGATTAATTTATTATAAACAACAAACATAAAACCTAATGTGTATACATTAATTTGTATGTGTGTGTGTTGTGTATTTGTTTGTGAACTATGTTATATATGTATATGCATATATATATATATTTATAGAATCAATTTAAATTTAACAAAAAATATTAAATTTCATAAATAAATAAACAAATGGTTTTTAATTTTTATGTATGTGTAAGTGTGGGTATGTGAAAACAGTAGCCACAATTGGGGTATGTGAAAACAGTAGCCACAATTGAATAAAAGTGAATTCTGTGTCTTTGTGTGACGCCAGTGATTAAAGAATAATAATTAAAATTAAAAAAAATAGAGACGAGAGAAGACCAATAATTATGCATCACCCGCAACACTATATATATGATCGTTTTGTTATGTAATCTAAAGAGTCCGTCATATGACCCGGTCATAAACAAGGTATATGTCTTGGCATCTTGCGAAAAAGAATAAGCAACACCTTTCTTATATGCATTTTCGCGAGAAAAAAAAACCACGAATATTATATTTACCGAACATTAAAAAGACATGAAAAATTCTATGAAATAATTGTCATTAAAAATGTGCATAATTTTTTTTAATTACTTCCTGCCGCGGGAAGTTAATTGATCAAATTTTGGGAAATTACCATTGAATTACATACATTTAAATATATATTTCTTGCAAAAAAAAATGCAAAATTATTTACAAAAATTAGAAAAAAAGCAAAAATAGATGAGAATCGACGAAAATAGTCGGTTTTTAAAAATTTTACTGTCAGTACATTTTTTTAAAATTGGTCTGAATGTAGAAAAAGTTGTGAATCTGGTCTTTACGATTTTATAATTTTTATATTTTTGTCGTTTTAATAATTTTTGTTGTCTTTTTTTCTTGCTTTATTTTTGTTGTCTTATTTTTTTTATTTTTTTGTCCTTTTAAATATTTTCTTGTTTTATTCATTTTTTTTCTCTCGTTAATTAGTGAGAGATTTTTCCGGTGGTATGAGGAATTGATAGAATGTTTTTGATGAACTGCTATAAAGGAATCAGGATATATTCCTCGAGACTAATCATTTAATATATTATATTGTTATAAATCCTGTTAACAAATCGTTTAGCAACGTGTCACATAGAAACTCGAGTCTTTTTTCACGTCAGTCACTTTCACAGACACTATATAGTTACAAGTGCACGTGATTTATATGTAAAAAGAATTAATTTCTTTTTTTCAGTAAAAATTTTTTTTTTTAAACAAAAAATTTTTTTTTGGCTTTATAATATAGTAGACGATTAAAAATAGAAAAAATTCTGATAAATAAATAAATTTTTCGGATAAATGAAATTATTAATTAATTAATTTAGTGAAAATTAGAAATTTGTAACAAAAAATGAAGAATCATTTTTTGAAATTTCTTCAATAAAAAATTAAATTTTGCAGCACTCCTGGTATATTATAATTTGAAGTAAATTATTCAAAAATCGTAATGATATCGTTAACGGGTTGCATTTTATATATAGGCATAGGAAATCGATTGATTGGATAAGTGATCGATTTACCATTCGGTAAATGACCTTGCTACTGCTTTGTGGTTAATTGATTACGAAATCAGAAATTCTCGTTGCTTGTATTCGAAAGTCACAAATACTATTCACAAATAATAAATAAATAAACAAAACAACAGATTTATTTTGTTTTTTTGAGAGAAATTTTTTCGAAGAAAAAGAAATCGTTGTTTGAGGAAAAGTAAGTGAATATTAATATCCAAAAATAATGAAATATGGAAAAAATAATTGTGTTTCTTTCTTTTAACAATTTTATTCTTTATTGCTTTTGTTTATCGCTGCTACACATTAATTTCCATTGTTTATTGAGAATTGATATACTTATTTTATTGAATATTGCAATAAATCTTTGTTGTCATATGTCCTACTAAGAATTGTTTACAATAATCCTTGATTGTTATTTTTAATCTTTTTTTATAAAATGGAAAATTTTGATCTGCTCTTGTTTATTTGTCTTGAATTATGATATAATTATAGCTAATTGAATTATAATTCAATTTCATAAATGGTAATTTAAAATACTATTTATGCGTTAATTAGAATAAATTGCTATTTACTTTAATTAAAATAAATAGTAATTTAAATAATTAGCATAAGTATAGCAATTAGAATAAATAATTGAAATAAATATAGTAATTAGAATAAGTGAAATAAATAATAATTAGAATAAATAATTTAAATAAATATTAATTAGAATAAATAATTTACATAAATACTAGATTAGGAATTAGAATAAATAATTAAAATAGATAGTAATTGGAACTGCGCTATTATTTAGATAGTAATTGAATTTTAATTATAATAATTATTAATTAATAGGTACATATTAATTATGCAGTAATTAAATTTTAATTACAATAATTATTAATCAATAAAAATTAATTAGACAGTAATTGTATTAATGGATTTTTTTCTTTTTTTGTTTCACAGAGTGGAAGAAAAAGTCAAAAGCTGCGCTATTGGTGAGTGTTTTGTAATTTTTTGCTTCTCTATTTTCATTTTCGATTTTACAGTTAATGTAAAATGCTATTAATTGTAAGAGTCAAAATTTCTCAATGAATATTTCATCGGGACATATTTAAGGTCACAATCTTTCTTCAAATTAAGGTCAGAAGAGCAAAATCGTTTTACTGATTACTCATTCATTATGACCACATACTTCGAATTTTACTATAAATCAGTTTACTTGAATGAAATCATAATTTTTGTGATCGAATCCTATACAGAGAATTTTTAAAAGATATCAATTATGAGGCGAAAAAAGCAGTTAATTCCGATAAATTAATATATGACGTGTAAATAAGCAAATAATAAATAAAAAAAATAATTAAAAAATGAAGTATTATTTATTTGTAATTTAATATATTTTTACTATTTTCAATGGCGAATGGTTTATTTGAATCGCATATCAATTTTTAATTTTTTAGTGCAGAAAAATCGTATTCGCCTTGTAAATTGCAAAACGTGTTATTTTATTAAAGAAAAATAAATTTTCCGAGAGGGAAAAAATAAATTATTCTATCGACTTTTTACCTACGTTTTAGACATTTTTAGTATATATATAGGGGAGGGTGGTCCCATACCGACCCCCTAAAGTGCAAAGGCTAAAAATGTGCCAAAAATGTGTTTCTTTGTCTTCGTCAAAATTTTTTTGAGTAAAGGAACTATTTTTCAATGTTTTCTGACGGTTGCCGAGGTTTCTGATTGTCATTATAAAAGATCTAAAGAAAAAGCGAAAATTTGCGTTTTTAACTTTTTCAAAATGGGTGGTCCGAAACCGACCCCCCATTTTTTTGGGGGAAAATCTCAAGAATAATCAAGATATCAAATTCTGATAGTAATTAAAATAAAATTCAAGTCTGTAATGAACTGTTAAATTATTTTGACTTCATTTAAATACATTTTTGGACCTTTTTCTGAACAAAAAGGTAAATAAATGAATCATTAGTAACTTTACGCTGAGATTATTTATGTCTTTAAGTTATGTTGACATAGTTAAACTTGAATTAATATTATTACTTTATTTAAATAAATTTTAAGGCCTTTTTTAAAATGATAATAAATATAAATTGTTAAACAGTGCCTGTTTTAATTTTCGCCCTATTTCTAGTATAAAATATATACGAATTTTGTTATTAATTCTTTTTCGTTTTCGTACTTAACTGCTTCCAAAGATGTCGAAAAGTACAACTTTTCTTAATTCATATCGCCTTGTCGAGAACATTTCACAACTGACAATGAATAAAATATTTAACCAAAAGAGAATTAAAGTTAAGTAATAAGTGCTGTGATTGTTAGTAAAATATTTTATAAATTCCTAAAAAATAAAAGTAAATATGCAAAACCTATCCTCACTTTATGTGAACAATAAGGAAGAAGAGAATAAACAATTACAATGTAAAAATATGGGGGTCGGTTTCGGACCACCCCCACTATTTTCACAAAATGTTTTGCCAATCACTTATATCAATGGAGTCAATTTAATTTGAATGTTGTGCGTTGAAGTTAAGGTCATACACAATCAAAATTAATTTCGTAAAAATTTTCCTGTATTCAAAAAACACTGTTAGCTCGAATTCCGTATAGGTCAAAAATTAATTTAAACAATGCTAAAATCAAATATTGCTTGAATCTTTAAAATGAAATCAAACGCATTGATAAAACCTGTGGCCCAGTTGTTGGTGTTGTGAAAGTGTTCGACTGATGGTACTGGCGAATTTTTTAGTGGTACCATCTTCAAGAAACATAAGGGGGTCGGTATGGTACGAGGGGTCGGTATGGGACCACCCTCCCCTAAGAATAGAAATAGTAAATTTTTTTTCTTTTTCTATATTTGCTTAACAGTATATATGAGAATTTAAACTCGCTGCGCACGTGTCGCAATTCAGAGTGGTGTATTGAGAAGTGATTCTAGGATGCGTTCCATTTCCTCTAATATATTTAATCGCTTGGCAAATGTTGGTAATTTGAAATAGTATATTTCGTAACGAGTGCGAGCAGTTGTCAATTCGCTTCGCCTACAGTTTGTTCCAAAAAAAGTGCTCATTCAAAAATTGGCAACTGCTAGCACTAGTTACGAACGATATTTTTCATAACAAGGTGCAAAAAAGTGCCCTTTTTTGCACCGCGTTATGAAAAGATAATATTTTATTGTATTAACTAAAATTTACTAAAAAAAAAATATTTTTTTCTATTACTAAAAATTCATTAAATGGAAAAATAAATAAACAAAAGAAAAAAAGAACAAAAATAATATTGTTCCGAAGTTTTGAAATTTTTTTGCCTATAAATATTTTCATAAAAATATTACTATACAAAAAAGAACAACAATTAAAATTAAACATTTAATTAGTTAACCAATTTTGTTAGTGCACAAAATTTTTAGTCAAAGAAAAAAATAGAAGTAAGAGAAGTAGAAAAATGTCGTTCATTTGAACGTTCAAAACTTTAGGAAAGTAAGAAATAAAGAAAAACAGTAAAAGAAATAAAAAAATTAATTTTGATGGATTTTTTCGCATTTTGTAATTAAATATTTATTTGGTTCTAGTTTGAATATTATTTTTTTTATTCCTAGAGTGTTTTTTATTCCTAGTATTGTATATTGAAATAGAATCGAATTTGTCGAATCAAAATTAATTGCTCTACTAAATAGCTAAATCGAGAAAGTGCCTCCGAGATTCTTGAACGCGACACTAAAGTAATAATTCTCTTCTGTCTTTTGACCTCGTAAAAGAGAAGAGATGCGAAAAAAAATATTGTCTCATTCATGGAGTATATCGTGTGTGTCAGTACCGTTAGCGAGGGAAACACTTATAGACCACAGGATACTTTTTCTACAATATTTTTTTATTTTTATACATTGAGAAAAATAGAGTTTGAAAAACTGGGAGTCAATATTGAAAAAACTGGACTCAGTCCAGTAAAAGTACATTAATTCATTTCCATCAAGCATCTTAGGGTGTTGCGTATAGTGGATAGAGGGTCTTAGTTCCAAATGTCACTGTAAAGAGCATTGAAACACAGGCGAAGATTATAAGGCGCGCTGCAGTGTGCATAGTAGAGAAACTGGACTCAGTCCCCTACTTCGAAATTTTCACAATAAAGGAACGCAGGCGCGGAACCTGTCAAAATAAATGTCCGACGCGACGCGAAACGAGTGTTTTCTTTTATTCACTTCGTCAATTTTATATAAAAAAAACAATAACCAATCATTAAAAAAAAGAAAAATATGTTAAATGCACTCTTTATATATTCATATTCCTTAATTCACAAGTTTTATTCTTCCCACATCTTCATACTTACAATTAACAACTAAATGCATCGGAAAATCTTACAATCATACGGGATTGAACACCTACCTAACCATACAACTAAATATACGCATATAATTATAAATCGCACGCTTTTACATTAAGCCTCTCGGCTACGCAATCGATGGGGGAAATTTCCTATTTAAGAAACATCCCTTACCAATGAAATAAATTAGATCATGCGTGGATTTTACTTTGTAATTAATGTAAGTATGGATGTCAACAATATTCATAATATTGAATAAATAATATTGTCAACTAGTTTAAATTTGATACGCGGTTATTAGAATTTAATAATAAATAAATAAAAAACATTAATTTTTTCCTAATCTTTTTCAAGTTTGACACTCCTCATGGTAAATTTGATTATTCTTTTTTTCCGTGTAAAAAATAGTAAATTGACGTTGAATGAAATGTATAATTAATTATTCTCACAGCAATATTTAATAATTTAATTAACTTAACTGCTCTGCATAATAGTTGAGAGTAGTAAGAGTAAGTGAAACGGTAAGATAAGTGAACGACCATTAGTGTGAGAGAGAGAGAATAACTTGTGGTTTTCGAGTAGGTATCTACTTTATGTGCACGGCGTTCATTTTTCGAAAGAACTGGACTGAGTACTATTTGTTCAATATTCGCTTCTATTATTGACTTGTGTTTTGTACACTGCCGCGTTCTTTTAACAATTACATGAGAAAGTAATTTCTCATTCCAATTTTTTATACTCTTATTCTTTCTTAGACTATATAAACAGTCTTGTTTAAGCTGATGAATGGGATAACTTGTGTTGAGTCCCAAACTATTCAGCTTTGAAACTTCTAATACTATAGTGTGTACCTGTCGCATATTATTCTATAAAGGAGTACTACACTGACTGCATAAATCATTTTTCCATTTTTCTCCGTGTATTTAAAAATTTTTTTTTTACTATAACAAATAATAAATATAATAATAATATAGGGGAGATTGGTGAATTTTGGGCCTTCATGTTTTTATTGTTTTTTCAAGGATTTTCAAGAATTAATTATGGAAAATATTTTTTTAATTATTGTGTGGGATTGGTACTTTGACTCCAAAAAGAAAGTTTGCATCAAATTAAAATGAATAAATAATACAAAGCTTTTTGTCAAATTTAAGCATTTGGGGAATTGTGGGCCACTTTTTTTAGGGAAGCTTGTTCTTTGCGATTTAATTGCACAATGCAGGTACATATTATTAAAACCACTCATAGCTATATTAATTTAACAAAAACAATTCGATTCATGCGATAAAGTTGTTTACTTAAAAATTTGTAATTAATTAATTGTGATTCCGATTAATTCCATTTTCTTACTTTTTCTTTTCTAATTTTAAACTAATAATCACAGTGCAACACATAAAATGTGCACTAAGTTTTGACTTCAGTTTCTGAAAGTACTTGTCGAAACTAGCAAAAACCTATTTCAGTTTTGCTAGATTAGCTCGGATTTGAATTTTATCGACATTTGAATTTTTTTTTAATTTTCACATTTTTCAGTTTTCTGATACGGGTTGATGGGAACGCTGTCTATTAAAAGTTTATTACACAAAATTCGCAATTGTCATAATTTGAAAAGCAATAATCCCTCTTTAAATTCTGATAAAGAAAAAAAAATTTGGTCAAAAATTGTTCG